AGGCATGGTGGCAAATGCCTGTAGTCCCAGCTACCCAGGAGGCTGAGGCAGGAGAATTGCTTGAACCCAGGAGGCGGAGATTGCAGTGAACTGAGATTGCACCATTGCACTCCAGCCTGGGTTACAGAGCAAGACTCCATCTTAAAAAAAAAAAAAAAAATGTTGCTCATGTTGACTGTGATTTGGCTGAGGATCAGGACAAATGCTCAGTTCACCTCTGTTCTATAATAGTGTCAACTACTTTAATATTTAGGGAAGAAATGCAAATGCTTCTCACCAACTCCTTGTAAAGCCAATCCCAAACCTAACTACATCTTTAGAAATGGCGAAATAAAGCAAATTCAACTTTTTAAAAATCTTGTTTGCACAGAATAAGAAGCCAGGCTTTACAGTATCGTGCTCTCCAAAGAGAACCATAAACTGCAGCCAGGAGCCAGCTCTAGGTGTGAAGCCAAACTGGCCAAGGAGCAGATATCCTGCCACAAAGAGAGGCTGTGTGGCCATGGCGGCATACCCATCCTTGCACATACACACATACCCGTAGGTGAGCCTGGGCTATGCCACACAAGCACTTTTCGGGGTGTTGCAGATTAGACACATTTTGTAATGGGAGGGATGTGTGATTGGGAACTGCATTTCCTGGCGGTGTACTGTGTTGTGTACTCATCATGCACTGACCTGACACTTTGTACCTACACTCTGTGTTGTGATCAAGATGCATACCTCATGAATTTAACTGTTTTTTCATAAAATGAAATTTCATTATGATGTGTAAAAATGCTTTATCAGGAATTGAAGTGTGCTCTCATGGCACACCTCATGGCAGCACAGATATTCCTCATTTTAACCAATAGATATTCTTTCTAAAATTATGTGTAAATCAATTTTTAAAAATCAAACTCTGTGTTAAACACATTTTCAGAAAGTGCTATATAAAAAAAAAAAAAAAAAGTCTTGTGTCAAAGCTTTCCAGTGATGAATGGTCAGTCTGACTGCTGTATGTCAGGTTTGCTCAGAATGAGGTATTCCCACATGGAAATACCAATGCATGTATTACCCAGAATTTCATGTTGCATATCTTATGTTCAAGGTTTTGTAAATTTTTTAACCTGCTGATTAAAATTCTTTCTCTCTCTAACTCTATCAAGACAGTTGAAGGTGAGCAAAAAAAAAAAAAAGAAAATTCTTTCTCTCTAACCAGTTGTTTCCTTTGATTGGTTAACTGCATAATTTTATATGAACAGATATTTTATATCCACATTTTCTTTCCAATAGTCCCTCCTGAGCACCAAGCATAGTGAGCCAGCTACAGCCTGTCATGTCAACACACTGGAGTCATTTAGAGGAGGGTCACTCCAGCTCATGCCAGGTTTTCTATCACATGGGATTGAAAGTTTTCTAGCACATTTTTCATTATCACTTTTAAACTTCCAGCCACCTGGATTACTAGTGATTAGAACCACATGACAACACAAATTTTATTGCAATCCTAGTGTTTGAGTATTTAAAAAGTATTTTAGAACAGTTTTAGATTTACAGAGAAATGAGCAGAGAGTACAGAGAGTTCCTAGATGCAGCTACCCTCAATGGGTGAGTCTTTTTAAGGGGAATGTCAGCCCATGCTCTTTACATAGGGAGTTTGCAAATGGCCTTCTTCAATGCCACACCTTACTTCCTAAAACTATTAGTCAGCATTTTAATTATCCAGAAAGCAGCCAAAGCTCCACTTATTATCCCTAAAAGGATATTCTTAAAAGACAAATCCCAAAAGCAAACCTTGTTTGAAAGTTGTTCAGAAATTCAGCCAGGTGCGGTGGCTCATGCCTTTGGGAGGCCGAGGCGGATGGATCCCTTGAGGCCAGGAGTTCAAAACCAGCCTGCCCTACATGGCAAAACCCTGTCTCTACTGAAATACAAAAATTAGCGGGACATGGTGGCATGTGCCTGTAATCCCAGCTACTCAGGAGGCTGAGGCAGGAGAATAGCTTGGACCCGGGAGGCATTGGTTGCAGTGAGCCGCCAGGCCTGTGAACATGGTTTCTTAAGAAGCCTTACTCTTTGGACCACAGGGCCTAAGGAAGGTCCTATCACCATCTGGTGGCAGCATATCTTTTTGGAGAGCTGACAACACCTCTTGAAACTGAGATAGGCCAGGATGGTGGCTCATGCCTGTAATCCCAGCACTTTGTGGGGCTGAGGCAGGTAGATCCCTTGAGCCCAGGAATATGAGACCAGCCTGGGCAATGTGGTGAAACCCTGTCTCTAACAACAAAAAAAAAATACATAAATTAGCTGGGTATGGTGGCACATGCCTGTAGTCCCAGCTACCCTGGAGGCCGGGGTGGGAGGATCGCTTTGGCTCAGGAGGCAGAAGTTGCAGTGAGCTTGGCCGGGCGTGGTGGCTCATGCCTGTAATCCCAGCACTTTGGGAGGCCGAGGTGGGCGGATCACGAGGTCAAGAGATCGAGACCATCCTGTCCAACATGGTGAAACCCCATCTCTACTAAAAAATACAAACAAAATTAGCTGGGCGTGGTGGCGCGCACCTGTAGTCCCAGCTACTTGGGAGGCTGAAGCAGGAGAATTGCTTGAACCCAGGAGGTGGAGATTGCAGTGAGCTGAGATTGCACCACTGCACTCCAGCCTAGCGCCTGGAGACAGAGCAAGACTCTGTCTCAAAAAAAAAAAAAAAGAAGTTGCAGTGAGCTGAGATCATACCACTGTACTCCAGCCTGGGTGACAGAGTAAGACTCTGTCTTTAAAAAAAAAAAGAAAAGAAAAAGATGCATTGAGCAGTGACTGACTTAGGAACTATGGAGAATGCACTGATGCATAAGATTTCACTCCTGCCCCTGTGCTTAAAATCTGGATGGAGGCCGGGCACGGTGGCTCAAGCCTGTAATCCCAGCACTGTGGGAGGCCAAGGCAAGTGGATCACGAGGTCAAGAGATCGAGACCATCCTGGTCAACATGGTGAAACCCCGTCTCTACTAAAAATACAAAAAAAAAAAATTAGCTGGGCATGGTGGTGCATGCCTGTAATCCCAGCTACTCAGGAGGCTGAGGCAGGAGAATTGCCTGAACCCAGGAGGCGGAGGTTGCGGTGAGCCGAGATCGCGCTATTGCACTCCAGCCTGGGTAACATGAGTGAAACTCCGTCTCAAAAAAAAAAAAAAAATCTGGATGGAGAACAAAGACTAGTAGGCAAAACAAACCAGTCAGACATTTTGGTAGGCTCAGAACATTGTAGTGGGTTAAAGAGCCACCAGCATGGGATTTAGAACACCTGAGTTTGAATCCCACGCAGGCTGGAGTCAGGGAGGCATGGGGCAGTTGCTTAACAACTCTTGGGCAACCTTACTTAGTCCTTAAGTAAGGTCAGGACTTTTACTTCCTGACCTTTTACTTCATTTCCCAGTGAAGTGCTGGGCCAGGTGCGGTGGCTTACGCTTGCAATCCCAGCACTTTGGAAGACAGAGGTGGGTGGCTCACAAGGTCAGGAGATCAAGACCATCTTGGCCAACAATGGTGAAACCCTGTCTCTACCAAAAATACAAAAAAAATTAGCTGGGCGTGGTGGCACACGCCTGTAGTCCCAGCTACTTGGGAGGCTGAGACAGGAGAATTGCTTGAACCCAGGAGGTGGAGACTGCAATGAGCCGAGATCACACCACTTCACTCCAGCCTGGGCTACAGTGTGAGACTCTGTCCCCCCCAAAAAAATAAAGTGAGTGCCTGTCCAGGTGAAATGATCTCTAAGTTCCCTTCATTTGAACACTACTCTTAGCTATTGATCATACATTGCAATAATGTGCTTTAAACAGTTTCCCTCTCCAGCCTGTACCAGCGAGGTCTTCTCTCCCTCAATCTCTGGTCTTTGCGGAAACACGATCTCTTTGGTTGCTCTGGGTACAGTTCCTCTCATCTGTCACTAACCAATTTTGATACAAGCCATCTCTCTTCATAGCTCCCTGAACTGCCTATTCCTAGATTATTGGATTTAGTGACCAGAAATCACATGAATAAACCACTTCACAGGTCCAGTCATTCCTCTTTCTCTTGGCTTCATTTCTTCCCCAATTCAGCCCAGACTCCAGGGTTCATGACGTCAACCACTCTCTTGCCAGCACCCCAGTGTCCTTACCCTCTGTCCTTCTGCCACATCCACCTGGTAGTTCCCCAACTTTGGATCAGCCAGCCATCCCAGCCATCTGTCTTCTCTGCTATACATAGGCTGCCAAGATGGCTGCAGGAAAACATGCTATCGAGTGGACCTGGGCCAGCACACAATATCTTCTCCAGCCTTGGAAACTTACCTTCTGCTTCTGAAACTGAGGTTCCTGTACCTTTCCCCCTCCATGGCTATTGCATGCCTCCATTCCAGTCCTATGCTCCCTCTCTGCTGCTACCTTCCTCCCAGCAAACAGCTATATTCGTTGAGAGTGGTTCAGAAGCAAGGCTCCCGTGAGGCAGGGGTAGGAAGATAACTGCAAACAAATTGTGAACTCTCTTTGGTAGGTTTCTTTATGTAATAGCATTGGCAAATCAATTCTGAAACTATTTTAGATGTATTATGTGCTTGAGCAAATGAATAAATGTGTTGATATTGTTAAAACCCAATAACTCATGATTTCTTTCTTTCTTTCTTTCTTTCTTTCTTTGAGACAGAGTTTTGCTCTTGTTGCCCAGGCTGAAGTGCGGTGGCATTATCTCGGCTTACTGCTACCTCTGCCTCCCAGGTTCAAGTGATTCTCCTGCCTCGGTCTCCCAAGTAGCTGGGATTACAGGTGCCTGCCACCACGCCAGGCTAACTTTTTTTGGTATTTTTAGTAGAGATGGGGATTCATTGTGTTATCCAGGCTGGTCTCAAACTCCTGACCTTAGATAATCCACCTGCTTCAGCCTCCCAAAGTGCTGGGATTGTAGGTGTGAGCCACCACACCTGGCCAGAACTCATGATTTCTAAAACAGGTATATGTCTGAACATACACATGTATGTATGCACAAGTATATATGTGCATGTGTGTATGCATATTCATATATGTAGGTAATGTGTGCATGTCTATTCAGCTCTGTCTGCTAAAAAGGCCTAAAATCAAATATACCCCATTAGCAATCAGTACATTTTGCACTGAGAACTTGGTCTCTAATACATTCCTCACTAAAAGGAATCAGGGTTCATTGGGGCAATGAAGATATGAGATGAGGAGCCTGAAACATTGTGTTATGTCAAAAAGTAAACTACTGGAGGCATGTCACGGGATAAAGGAACCAACCTGAAGGAGCTCCCACTGGCCAAATCTGGGATATGAGGCAACAAATGATTAAGGACATTAATAAATTATAACCCATTGGAAAAATTTGGAATCCTGAGTTCCTATCAATGAGAGAGGGAGGAAGAGGGCTCCTGTTTAGGAAGAGTGAAGCTGAGGTCAGGAGTGAATGTAGAAGGAGTGCTGCAATTGGGAATTCATTATTTTGCAATTACTGTAGTAAAATGGATCAGGCAAGAAGTACCTATGCATGCAAAAATTAGGAATTTAGGAGCAAGATATTTGCATGGTTTTAAAGTGTCTCCACTCAGATTGCTTATTAGTTGGAAGGGAAAAAGCAGTGACTATTTAATGGGGCAACTGGACACTGCCTTAACCATGTGATTGATTCTGTGCCTTCTGATGTAAAGCCTGAGATGAACACATCACTTAAGTAGTAGTCTGGTTGGAAATGCATACCTTGAATCTAAAAAAAAATCAGGCGGGGCACAGTGGCTCATGCCTGTAATCCCAGCATTTTGGGAGGCTGAGGTGGGCAGATCATGAGGTCAGGAATTCGAGACCAGCCTGGCCAATATGGTGAAACCCTGTCTCTACGAAAAATACAAAAAAATTAGCCAGGTGTGGTGGCGTGCGCCTGTAGTCCCAGCCGCTCAGAAGGATGAGGCAGAAGAAGTGCTTGAATCCAGGAGGCAGAGATTGCAGTGAGCCAAGATTGCACCACAACACTCCAGCCTGGGTGGCAGAGCGAGACTCTAGCTNAAAAAAGAAAAGGAAAAGAAAAAAAGTCAGACAAAACCAAAATAAGGAACATCCTACCATAAAGAATCTAGACTCTGGCATCAGGATGCTTGGATTCCA